TTTTTTTTTTTTTTTTTTTTTTGTAGCTGGTTGTTCTGAAATTATGTAACAGGTTGTAAATGGTGGAACAATATTATTTTTTGGTGTAACAGGTAAAAACTTCTCTGTTTGCTCTCTGTTCCAGGAATTTTTTTTTTTATATCCCAGGAAACCGTATTCAGAGAATACGGTTTATATAATGAATTAAATGTAAACCGTATTCCTGAAATACGGTTTCTAAAAAAAAAAGATACGAGGATCTCAGATTGGGGACTAGAACCCAGGTCTGTGGGTGAGTCCGGTTTCTCTGGGCGCACCTCGTACCATTGTGCCGCTAGGCACCTTGCGTTTATTTCTGCGCAAATTATATACATATACATATATTATAAATTGCAATATATTATATACTATATGTTTATTATATAGTACTTGTTCGCAGCGAATGGTTCTGTCCTACTTGACTTTTTTATGATTGATCTGAATCTCGTTCACTCTGTGAGATAATGGATCTAACGTTAGGGCTTAGTGACTCCATCTCTCTTGCCCGTTATAGATCAGCTCGAAAATACCCCTTTCTTTCTATTATGGCCCGCAATCAAAGCCTTTAGCCGGCCAACAAAGTGAGACTTGACGTTGCTGCGGTCAACAAGCTTTCTTTAGGAACTAGACAACCAATCCAAGAAGAACAATCCGGATGAGTGGCGATTTGCGACCTTCTGCCTCCACTGCTTCCACTTCAACTTCTCCTACACTGATTAGTCTAGTTTTGTTTGCCCCCGGTATGTTATATTATAACATCTATGTTATAATATAACATAGTAATATATTACTATATTATATTATATTACTATGTTAATATATATAACATATGTTATATAATATAACATAATACAACATATGTTATATTATATAACATATGTTATAATATAACATATTGTTAAATAATATAACATATGTTATATTATTTAACATATATGACATATATGTTGTATTATAACATATGTTATATTATTTAACAACATGTTATATTATTTAACATATGTTATATATAACATAGGTTATATGTTAATAAACATATAATATAACATACTATGTTATACTATATCTAACATCTAACATATGCTATATAACATCTAACATATGTTATATAACATATGTTAATAAAAATATAACATATGTTATATTATATAACATATGTTATATTCATAATATATGTTATATTATATAACATATGTTATAATATAACATATGTTATATATATAATATAACTTATGTTATATTATATAACATATATGACATATGTTGTATTATAACATATGTTGCAAGAAGGACTACCGGACATCGTGTACGAGCAGAGGGCGAGGGCCCTTATCTTGTGGTGCATTGGGTCTTTCATCTTCCCCGACCAGCGGGCGGATGGTGTCCCACTTTACTGGCTCCAGCTGCTAGAGGACATAGATGGTATTAAGGGGTACAACTGGGGTTCAACGCTCTTGGCCGGAGTATACAGAGCGTTGGCGACCTCGTTCATGGCCGAAGAGAAGTGGATCAAGAACTGCGTTCAATTGATCCATGTAAATTTATTTAATTATTATTTGAAAATTTAATATTTTATTTTTCTTACTTCGACTAATACCTATTTACAAATATAATGTCCATTTGTGTAGGTTTGGGCATGGGAGCATATCCCTCGTATTCGCCCAAAGGTGAAGAAAAGTTTGTTTGATAAAGTGTCTGATTGTCCATTGGGAGCGAGGTAATCACTTTTATTTTTATTTAATCCGTACATTATTTTCATTATCAAATTTTGTGATTACAAATTTTATTTTTTCTGTGAATTTTAAGGTGGGTGGGACCGAGATCTAGGTCAAACATAGCCACTACATTGGCCGCCTACCGGGATCAGTTTACAGGGCTGCGAGAGGATGAGGTAATGTTTTTAATTCAATTGTTTATTTCTTTTTACATTTGTTATTGTTATGTGATTTATCTTTTTTTTTT